AATCTCTAGTGAAAGTGGTCAGGAGAGTGTGGTTTTGCAGGCATGCTGCACTTGAGTTTAGTGTGATGTTTCTTGAGAAGATGATTCTTTTGACTGGCACTTGAGTTTAGTGTGATGTTTCTTGAGAAGATGATTCTTTTGACTGGCACGAGCTTGTACTGGTTAAACCGTATAATATTTTAGTGATCGAATGAGCAAAATCGGGATAGTTATTAATTGATTAAGTACAAGTACATAAATTTGAATAAGGGTAAATAGTAATTTGCAACCTGTACTATACGCGAATTTGGGATTTGCAACCTAAAGAATTTTTTGTACTAAATTGCAACCTTTAATACACGATTTGTCTATATCGCAACCTCCGGCCATCGGGAGTTCATTTTTCACTGGAAAAGCAAGCGTGCGACACACACGTGCCAAATTTGAGGGCAAAAATGTCATATCTCTTCATCCTTATACGCGAATTTGGGCTTTTTATATGTATAATAAAAAGCAATTTATCGAAATTTTTGGCTCAGATCTGTAGAAGGATGAAGCAAGGTTATTGCCCAAATCAAAATTTCTCTTTGCTCAAATCTGTAGAATTGGGCTTTAATTTGGGCAATAACCCCAAATTCGAAATTTCTCTTTGCTCTATACATCATTTATCGAAATTATTGGCTCAGATCTGTAGAAGAAAGCAATCGAAATTTCCAAGATGTGTTCGAAATTTCTCTTTGCTCTGTTCATCTTCTTCCTCGCAGCCCCCATATTTTTGAGGTTCTGGGGAAGCTGCAGAGTACGACGTGGATCTTCTTCCTCGCTTAAGCAGGTTACGGCGTGGATATTTTCCTTTGTGGCGGAGTTCGGTGGAGAGGTCCAGCAGCATCACTCTCTACGGCGTCGCTTTCTTGAACGCCACCTCCATAGCCCTGTCAAAGAAGAAGACCTTCACCTTCCTCCCGCTGCCTCCGTTCTTCCCGCTGGCTCCACCGCCTCTCTTTCGTGCCTTTTCTTTTTCGCCGTGATGTTTGTGTTTCTTATCACATCAAAAGGCGCAAATTTCACGGGCCTCTATTTTACTACATGGGCCTCCCGATTGAGGAATCCTATTATGTCGCTGTGGAATTCAATTTTTGATTTGGATGTGCGTGAGAGAGTGTGAGAGAGAGAGAGAGAGGATGAAAGAATAAGGATGAAGGGAGATGAAATGACATTTTGCCCCTAAATTTGGCACGTGTCTGTCACACGCTTGCTTTTCCGGTGAAAAATGAACTTCTGATGGCCGGAGGTTGCGATATAGACAAATCGTATATTAAAGGTTGCAATTTAGTACAAAAAATTCTTTAGGTTGCAAATCCCAAATTCGCATATAGTACAGGTTGTAAATTATTATTTACCCTTTGAATAATAATATATATAGTATAAAGAAACTCAAGTTTATGGGAGATAAAGTCCCATGTTGAAAAATGAGAAATGGTTCTCAAATCTCAGCCATGAGGTTCTACAATATGCACGTTCATTGGCATATCTAATATAACTTGTTCTCGTTTGTCGTTTCTCACACAAGGACTCGTTCCAACTAAAATTTTCAACTGGTGATATTATAATCTACATGCAAAATTCATATCTAATATTCTAGGTAAAAAGTAAAATTACTTCACGGGGCCCGCATATCAGAATTTATACCCGAACCCGTCCTAACTTGCACGGGCGGGTCCCTCTCTCTCTCTCTCCCCTCTGTGTTGGGTGCAATGTGAATGCTTTCACTTCGTGTGATATGGGTATATTCTGCTGAGCCTTATTAAACAATGAAATCAAAACTGGACTAAATATGAAAAGTTGAAATCAAATCTACCAAGAATACTGTTCTTTCTCCCTTCTTTTTTTCCTCCATATGAAATGGCAGAAATAACCTCATATAGTCATATTAAAATCAATAATAAATGGAAAATATGTTAAAAAAATATTGAAAAGAAACCAAGCATTTTGATCAAGTTGAAGCAGAAAGATTGGCCCGCTTCATTCGAAAATAATTGTATCTATTCAACTATTTCCAACCACAAAAATGGTCACTATGCCACCTCAAAACTTTCGGTTATGCAATTTGGGTCATCTCTTGTTGGTCTTACATAATATTCTGATTCCTCTTTCAAAATCAATCAAAG